GGACTTCACGCTTGCCTGTTATTTCTACTTCCCCTTGGGAATGGGGATAAGAAGAGTGGAAGAGAGGAGGAAATATACCCACTGGGTGGTGCTAGTAACAGGAACAACACCTCCTGAGCAACACCTTGTGGCCACACAGCTTAGTAGGATCAGAGAAACAGCACAGTGAGCAAAAGTCATCCCACAGTGGTTCTGTTTTATTCGCATTTCTCTTTGAAAACTGCACCAGACAGCGTCCTGTTCACGCACGGCCTTCCCTGTCTGGCTGTGTACTCGGAGGTCTCCATGGCCTCTTGCCTCCCCAGGCTCTGGACGCAGGCTCCCTGCAGGCCATGGTGGGCGCTGTGTGCTGGCCCCTCTGCCCTCTCTGCCATCTCTCCTGCCCTCCTGCCGCCCCCTGTCCACACCTGCAGGCGCCCCTGCATTGGTTCCACACCCTTCGCATGGGCAGTGCAGCGCAGCACCTTCCCTACACAGTGTGGGCTCGGCCACTTGCAGAGGTGCAGCTCCCGGCTGCTAGGGGCTGTGGGTGAGGCCCCCCCGAGAGTCACCCCAGCCTCGGGCCCACAGCACGCGTGTTCGTGTGTGCCAGTTTCCTGACCGCCTTCTCTCACTTGCATCTGTGATCTGTGCCTCTCTGGGCCTTTAAACCTTTGCATGGGCATTTTTAAAATGTACTCCCAGGACTGGATTGTGTAGCTCAGCATTACAGTACTGGTGTAGCATTCAGGAGGGTCTGCATCCCATCCACACACCGTCAGGGAAAGCGTGAAAAGCATTCGTGAACATGAAAGCTGTCAGGAGCCCAGGCCTCACTGCATTGCCGCTTGGAACCATGCCAGACAGAAGACTTCTAGGTCAGGGACCTTCCGGGGACTTGAACTGGATCCTGCAAGTACTCACTGAACGCACTGCCCTAACCTCACCAGGCTCTTCTGGCCAGGCTGGGGCCATGCAGAGGCCTTTGCTTCCCACACAGCTCAGGGGCAACAACCCCAAAGCACAGGCTTTCTGGGTTGAGGTCTGGTTCTGCCCCATGATGGTTTGGTTGGCTCTGGCCATTTGACTTAGACTTTCTCTGCCTCCATTCTGCAGTGTAAAACTGCACGTGATAGTAACCCCCAGCACAGTGGCATTATGAAAATTAAACAGTCAATTCGTAGAAAGCATCTAAAGGAGAATACAGCATACATTCAGTGCATATTAGTCACGTACAGTACACAGAGAAGTTTCGTGCATGCCTAAACCTCTATCCACACAGGCAAGGCACATACTCCACATAGAACATGCCTTTCCCACAGTTTCTTTACTTTCTCAGTCGCTTTTAATTATACACAATCTGAGCTGCCTCTTTCTAGTTTACTAAATTTTCTTACTTTCTGAAAGTATTTTCTATTTTATTCTGCTTAGTTGAGAGAAACCAGTCCGTGTTAAACTTAGTAAGAAACCAAATTTAGGCAGGTGTGAACAAAATCCAGGCTCAGAAGGGACCAGGGTACAAAAGAAGGTGTTCCAATGACAAAAGGCTGTGGAACAAAGACAAAAATGAGGAGTTCACATTTTAAATGAGCCTCTCTCTGCTGTCCTCAAGTGGGGGCTGGAGCTCTTTGAACATGAAGTGAACCCTGGAATCTGTCTCACAGCCTCTATGCACATTGCACTGTCTCACATAGCTTTGCCTCCTCCAGCTGAAGAATATCACCTCCCAGCAGCAGTTGAAGCATCCCAGAGAGCGTTCTCCCCTTGATATAAGGGCAATGCATTTCACGGAAGACAGGAAAAATTCCCCTTATGATAGTCCTGCCTGCAAGGGTTAAGTGGAATAAATTCAGAAGCAGTATGGGTGAGAACTTTCGTTTTCAAATATTTGGCAGTTTATTATGCAACTGAATTCATTCTCCAGCCCAAGCAGCTAGTCAGTCTACTATTTCACAAAGAAACGTTATTATTAGACATGATGTCATATCACATAACAGCATTCACAGAATGTAATGTAGGCCACCATTTAGCATCAACAACCTGCATGCTGCAGAAGCGTGTGGAGCCAGAGGATGTTTTAGATCCAGCCCTTAACCTGACTGACAGCTCGCCTGCATCCTCCTCCCGGCTGCTTCGCTGCTCTGCTGGAAAGTCTGACTTCACAGGCGTTTAATTTTGCAGGTGTCTCAGAGGCAGTGGAAAAAACCTGCTGCACAGCCGGAGGGGATTTCCTCTGTAACATGCATGGCAGAGTTAGTGAGTGTTGGGGGAAGAGGCTCACATCAGTAATGTTGCCTCATTTGTACGTCCTCTCTAACTTACAGCCGTGCTTCTTTAAGAAAATTCCAAGAAATCCTAAAGGGCACTGCGTGGAATTTAACAGCTTCTGTTGCTTACCAGGGTCCCCCTACTGCCTTACGGTCACACTCTAAACAGGTCCCTGAGCTTCTCTCCACGCTAGGACCCTCATGTGCTACTTAAAGCCTATTCCCAGGCAGTCCCTTACTAAGTAACCAGGCACACAGCTGGGATCCGGGCGTGGGTCTTACAGGTGTCTTGAGAGTTCACCGTGCAGCACCAGCTGCAAACTACATCTCCACCTCTTTGAATCTGGAAAAGCTTTGCTTTCTCCACCTGCATGACCCCAGTTTTGGAAATGTTTTGTTTCATTAAAGTCTTGTATCTCAGCTAAAATAAGCTGAGCATCTACCAAGTGGTAACAAAGCCCTCGCTGCTTTCATGTTCATTTAGTGCCTCGGGTCCCCAACATGAATTGTCCTGAGCTGGGCTCCCGGGAACTTTCCTCCCTGCAGTGGTGGACAGAGGGAGGGGTGGTCAGGCTGGGAATGGAAGCCGCCTCTCAAGGTGGGGCCTCGGCCGCACTGCCGCTGCCTGGTTTCCCCAGACTCACAAAATACATTAATCTGTGCCATTGATTCTGGTGTTGCCCTTGATGTGATCACCCCCCCCATCAGTGCCTGGGGGTCCCCAGTCCAGTGGCTGCAGCCCAATAAGCCAGCACCAACAGAGTCAGACAATTACGCACTTGGAGGACAGTGCCATATTTATCGGTGCAGATTCCTGCATGATGTGCAGCCCTTTCCCCAACACTTGGATAACTTTGCTCTCTGTAGTTAAGACAACAGATGGTGATCAATAATCAATGCGGGGTGAACCCTACGGAACTGCAATATGAATGACCATGTTTTTTCAATTTTCTCACAGACACGTCCCAGGGTTAGTATCACTCCTCAAGGCCACAGCTGAGCCAGTGAGGCTCCCAGTGTGGGTCTGAGAGCTGATGGGCAAGGCCGTATATTCTCCACTGTTTTCTAACCTTCAGTGCAAGTACATTTCACTAAGTTAGCTCTTTTGTTGGCCCTGTTATCTAACTCTTTAAAGGGAGTGTGTTTGGCAGCTTTAGGCCACTGTGAACAAAACACCTAAGGTAATTGGCTTATAAAGAAGAAAGGTTTGTGGTGGCTCCCAGTTCACTGGGTTTCAGTCCATGGTCATGTGGCCCAGTGGCTCAGTGCATCATGGCGGGCTGGTGGGCAAAGGATGTTTGCCCAGATCAGGGGGGCCAGGAAGCATGGAGAGGACACAGAAGAGACCAGGGCAGGGTCCCCTTCAGCCCCATGCCCAGTGCTCTAGCCTTTTCCCTGCAGGCCTCACCTCCTAACAGCTCTGCTGCATCCCACGGGGCCCACAGGCTGGGGCTCTGGTGGCCTCTCAAGGTCCAAATCGTAAAGAGAAGCCACCTCCTTTAAGCTCAGGTTCTTGAAAATTATTCCAAAGATCAGTGGTTCCAGGAGGTGCTTTCATCTGGCTCGCTGGACGTGTGGTGTGGACATCAGTACAGCCAAGACCTCCCCAGAGAACCCACTCCTCCGCCTGTGACAGCCCAGTCCTTGTTGCCATGCTGTATTTTGTCTGGGTGTCAGTTTTGCATAAGGAACCCACCACTGAGCTGCCAGGTTCTCAGAGACCCCAGAGGGTGGAGCAGACCCCTGAGCTGAGCGGAAGCTGTGGACTGGGACACCCAAGATGGTGGCATCCTTGTTTCCCCGCCCGGGCCAGGACAGCGAGCTGAGGCCAAGAGCTGGTGCAGCCCCACGAGGAGGCAGTGTTAGCACGGGCCTCCCGGGCTGCAGAGCGGTGCCCACGCTCCTTGAAATCCATCTTGAGTCTCTCCCCAGGCTCTTGCGAGCGAGGCAGCAGGTCAGGAGCCAAACCAGGCCTGGCCCTGCCCCCAGCCCCCAGCCCCACCCACCTCCTGGGAAACAGTCCGTGTAGACCAAGTTGGACGCAGCGTGGCAGATAGTCGAGTTATTCTTCTGTCTTTCTGGACTGCTGATTGAATCAGTCTCTTGGGTGCTTGTCTGCCTCTTTTAGAGAGAACCTTTATGTGTACTGCAGGGTCTTCCTGTGCATCCTTGAGTTTCCTTTTTTCTTCTTTCTCTGTGGTAGGGAGAAGGATGGGGAAGCAGAACTGCCCACGGGTTGGACTGAGCAAGCCAGTGTGCGGTTGGCATCTGACTTCGATGTACAATTTTAGGAAATCGTCTGAAATCAGCAATACAAGGCATTCACCAAATGCCGTGGCAAAAAGTAAGACGGCAGTAAAGAGAAGCGTGCTAATCCTGGAGTCAGCATTAGGGAGCTATGTGTGGAGCCCACGTCTGTAGTTTTGTCTAGAATGGTGTCTTCCTTCATTATGAAACCAAGCTCAGCAGTGAGTCATGTATGTAAAAGACGTGCAGCTTTAAAATAACAGCGAAACACGCGCTCTCGTTACGTTTTCTCAGCCCTCGAGTGGAGTTGCTGTCTCAGTGTCTGCACCAGCCACCGGAGCCAGCAGGCTTCCCCTTTCCACAGCCCAAGTCCAGACCTGGGGCAGCAAAAAACCGAGCCCGCATCCTCCTTTATATTTTTCATATTTAGGTTCTAGTCACCGTGACTATTTCACAAATCATTATTTTCATTTCCTCTCCTCCCCCTCTTTTAACTCTTCACTTCAGCCCTGCAAATATTCCAGAATATACTGGCAAGGTTCATTTCACAGCCACCCAGCCAGCAAATTCTCATATTCCATCAACAACCCCCTCGCCGCACTCGGAGCTGCACCGGTAAGTATGAGTCCTATTATTCAATTTGCTCCGATACATTAGAAGGGGAAACCCTAATTATGGTCATTCCATTAAAGAACAATTAAATACTAAGAGCAAATTTACATTGCTTTTTTTTAATGAGGCATCAGAGAAGAGTTCGTTTTCCTACTGAGGGGGATGCCTTAAGGAGGAGGTGTGTGTGCAAAACTCTTGTTCCCGGAGGCCACATGCGGTCCCCTACTGGGCTTTACACGCCTCAAAATGCCCCCATTAGCAATGCCTAGATAAGCATTAATCTGCATTGGTTTTTCACTGTAATTTTGAGTCAGATTCCAAAAGCAAAGCCTGCACACACCTCCTCCTGTGGCATTAGAAAGAAGACCCTTGGAACTTACTTCCATGAGGCGGATTCGCTGCTTCTGAATAACCATCTTATTTTTATGAAAGACAAAACTCCCTTGGCAGTTGCGGATGAGTTTAAACTTCACTTTTTCTTTCTTTCTTTTTTTTGGGGGGGGGGGTACCAGGAATCAAACTCAGGACCTTATGCTTGGGAGGTAGGCAGCAGCACCACTGAGCTAAATCCCTGGCCCTAAACTTCACTTTTGCAAATTGAAAGTAGAAGATACTGGATGGGAGGGGATGGAAGGGTGAAGAGCAGCTCACTCTTTCTCATTGGAACTCAAATGTGACAGCCTTTGGTGGAGGTCCTGGCTGGCAGTGAGGCTCAGTGAAAAGGCACAGGGATTAGCCCCTAGTCCCACCCTCCACAGAAAGCTGCCCCCTGACAGGGAATCTAAATGTCAGATCTGAGGATTGTGGAGAGTCCCCAGCCATCTGAAGCATCTGATACTTTACATTTGCGAAGTAAAGTGGGTCATTGACTGTCTGAACTAATATTTTGCATTCAATTTACTGCCCAGACACTATGAATTTCTGGTCTCCACATTTACACATACAAGTTTTAAGATAAATTTTGTTGTGTGTATCTAAGGTAGCATGGGGTTATGGAATACACATAGATAATAAAGAGGTTACTATACTGAAAGAAATTGATGTATCTATCATCTCACACAGTTACCCATTTCCCCCTTCCCTGTGGCAAGAGGTGCTAGATCTACTCACAGTGAAAATTCTGCATGCAAAGTACTGATTGGAGATTGGCCCAGTGTTGTACCCTTGATGACTAGACTCCTACACACCTGCTACTTCCATCCTTTGACCTAAATCTCCCCATTCCTTCCCCCACATTCTACCCCTATGAGCTGCTGTCTTGTTCTTTATCTTTGTATATTTCATCTTTTTCCATAAATACTTCCCATATAAGTGAGGTCATGCAGCATTTTTCTTTCTATATTTGCCTTATTTCACTGAGCACAGTGTCCTCTGGGTTCATCTATGCTGTGCCAATGTCAGGATCTCCCATTTCTTTAAGGATAATGTTCTTCTCAATTCCTCTGACCTTCACATCCTCTTGGTTCATCAGCCATCACTGGCACCTGGGCTGTGCCCAATTTAGGGATGTAGATGTCTTTACCAGATGAGATCTCATCTCCTTTGATGGCACTCTGAACCTGAGGAGGGATTGCTGGTTTGTATGGTAGTTGTGTTCCCAGGTGTTTTAGGGTCCTCCCTCCTGTTTTCCACAACAGCTGCAGGAGTGGACCTTCTCACCAACAATGCACAGAGGTCCTCTCTCCCTGTATTCTCACCAACACTTGTTATCATTCCTCTTTCTGATAATAGCTGTCCTAATGGTTGTAAGGGGATAGACATTGCATCCTGGTTTTGATTTGCACTTCTCTGACGATACTAGTGATACTAAGCATTGTCATATATCTGTTGGCCATGTTTATGTCTTCTTTGAAAATATATCTTTTCAGGTATTTTGCCTGCTCCATTTTTTTGCAGCACTGGGGATTGAACCCAGGGCCTTTGCACTATGCTATATCCCTGCCTCTTTTTAATTTTTTTTTTTATTTTGACATAAGGACTCACTAAATCACTAAGCTTCCTAGGCTGGGCTCAAACTCATGATCTCCTTGCCTCAGGCTCCCGGAGGGCTAAGATTAGGCATGTACCACACTGGGCTCTTTGCCCATTTTCTGAATTGTGTTATTTGTGTTTTGCTACTCAGTTGTATGTGTTTCTTTATAAACCTTGGATGTTAATGCCTTATCATATATATAGCTTGCAAACATTTTCCCCACTCTTTAGATTGCCTTCTGGTTTTGTGGTATAGAAACTATTTACTTTGATATGGTCTCATTTATTTGTTTTTGCTTTTGTAGCCTAAACTTTAACCTTTTGGAGAGACATACAAAATGTCACTGCCACGGTCCTTCTGTCTGCATGCCCCCCTCCTCAGCAGAAGCTCCGTGTCCATCCATGCTTCTTCCGCCCTCACTTCTCTGTCCGACTCTCACTTTTCTCCTCCTCTTCTAGGGGACCCTGGCCCTCTCCCTTTGCCCTCTCTGCTTGCTTCTGGGTGCCTGGCTTCTCACTGCTGGCCTGTAGCTTAGGCAGCCTAAGTCCTGGCTCCCACTGTGCCCTTCCAGCTGCCTGCCTGCTTCTCTCTGTCCTCCACTCGCTTCTAAACTCCTGAAACCGTCACCTCCTGGCTCCCGGCCTCCACTTCCTCTTAGCCCACGCTCCTCAGCTCTTGCCAGCAAGGGACTGATAAGGGGACCTGGGAGGGGACCGTTGACTCTTCCTGCAGGCGGCACCGTGGCGCATTTGCCCTGGATCTTTGTGGCTGATAAGACCGCAGTGGTGGTTTGCAGCTTTAAATCGCTTAGGTTTTCAACATGCACACACAGGGGTCTCTGGCCCACACTGGTTCGAGTGCCCACAGCAGAGTGCCTGAGGATTCCTGCTTTGTGGGTGCAGGAAGACAGCAAGAGCTGCCTGGAAGGGCCTGGGAGCAAGGGTAGGGGTGTGTGGTGGGTCAGAGATGGAGATGCTTCCCCTTCCCTGCACCCATTTCCACCCCGCCAGGTTACATTGCATCCCCTGCTCCAGAACATAGCTATGTAGACTCGGCATGTGCTCACTGCAGGGATCGTTTCCTGTGACATAATAATAAATGTGTGCACATGTCACAGCCATGATAGCTGGGAAACCAGGCCTTAAGGAGCAGTCACTGAATGGCGTGGGGCTGCCTCCCACCCTTGCACTAACTGCTACACACGAGCATCCTGCTGCCTGCGTGCTTATCACACCATGTGCATGCGACTGCAATCACAGCGCATCCACAGCACAGTTCCCACAGGCCAGGGCCATGGGCTTGGGCATCGTGGTCACCATGGTTCACGAGCAGGTGTGGACCACCACCTCTGGGTGCAGCCGGATGATGCTCGCCACTGGATAAAGCCTCCTCTGCATAGCCTACATTTCCAGCTATTTGCCTTAATCACAATAAATTCGGCAGGACAAATGCATTTCTAGTGCATAGGCCAGAAAGCTGAGACACGGTGAGGTCACAGTGTCATGTAAGGAGATGGTGGCAACCTTGGGCGGAGAGCACAGACCCTCCCTGGCCCTCCCTGCCTGGGCCCCGGCTCCTTGTATCTGTGACATCTCTGTAGCCTCCCTCGGTGTCTTCACGCCGAAAGAAAGGCCAGGCAGGTAGCTCAGGTGTTCAGCAAGGGAGAGGGAGTGCAAACAGCATGAATCATTCCCAGCCTCCTCTTCTCATCTCTAGCTGACCTCTTTCTGTCCCTCCCCATCTCCCTCTGTCCCTCCCTCCCATTGATACATACCATTAGTTGGAGAACAGTTTTCATGTCAATTTTACCCATCAGTTTCTTCTTTTCTTCTTCCATTCTGTCCCAGCACCTTATGCAAAGCATCAGGAAACCTCTTCCATCAGCAGTGGCCACTGTCCCAGATGGTCACAACCGTAAAGCCCTACAACCCCTTCAACAGGAAGGAGAGAGAAACTGTGTTCTTCTGAGAGGCCACAGCCCAGTGTGCACAGTGTGATGGGGAATAAAGGAAGCAGAATATCCTGAGCGCCTGTGTGTTCCTGCCAACCAGAGGCAGTGTGTCCGGGCCTGCCTCGGCTGTCCTCTCAGTGGTGGCCTCTCAGCCTGGTCTGTGATGTGTCGCTCTGCTATGGCAGCTGGGACCTGGAAGCCACAGGACAGGCGCTCCCTTGACACAGCTTCCTCTGGGGCTGGAGTGCTGCTCTCACTGGCCTTATCCCTCGGGGTTGGCACTGAAGGGCATGGTCACAGATCTGAGGACAGAGACCCTGTCATTGTGGGGATGCTACCACGAAAGGAAAATACCCAGGGGCAGGGAGCAACCCTCTCGCACCCTGAGCATCTTTCCCTGGCTCCGGGAGGGTCTTGGGCAGGAAAGGTTGTGTGTCCATCTGTATCTCCACATACAGGAGCCCTCTGCATTTAAAAACATAAAACTAAAGGTGTTAGAAATTACGGAGCTCCCCAAAGAAAGATGCATGCATGTAACTCTGTTTCTAGCCAATTAGAGTGTTTCCAAGTAACATAGAAATATTATGAAGTACAATTAACATGAACAATATGATGCTCGTGCTACAGCAAAATAGAAAATCCAGAAATGAACAGTGAAATCATTTAAAACCCATGAATACAGGATAAATCTTTTTCCAACAGAAGATACTGAGAAAGTGATTTGGAAATTAAAAAATAAAAATATGGTCCTCCACTAAACAAATTGTTCCTGGAACACAGGTTTGACTACATCATTTACAGCATGGGGCAGATTACCTGGAAAATCCGGGGAATTGGTATATAAGGTGGTGTGTGTGTGTGCATGTGTGTGTACAGAAATTTTTTTCAAAGAAGACACTGAAACAAAAACACCATGAAGGGAAAAAAGACTTTTAGTACAAAAATAAAATTTAAAAAAAGTTTAAGACAAACCAGATTGGAAAATATATCACTGAAAACAATCAGATTCTCATTTCATTTATAAAAACAGCATTTTTTCCAAGATCAGATGAGATTGAGTGGTATGGCCATAGACAAAAAATACCATTTTTAAAAAAACTTAAACTATTAGGATCAGTTCAAAGAGTAGTGATTAAAAAATTAAGAACTAAGAAATATGAATGGCCAATAAATGAAAGTGTGTGCCTCAGTAGATCAGTCCTGACAGCTCTGTCACTTTCCCCTGGGGATCAGTGGTGGTATGAAGACAGTGGTGAGTTTGGGTCCCACACTCCCAGGAGTCGACGTTGTGACACCTGCCCGGGGTACATGTACAAAAGGTTTCGAGTGCCTTTCCCAGTGCTGTTTCCACTTCCGAATTTCACTCTTAGGATTTTGTCCAACAAATAATCGCACAACTGAATAAATATATTGGATAAAGAAGTTAAAAAGGCAGCATTCTATTTAATTGACAGAAAGCAGGAGAAACGTAATGCCTCTCAAGAGGAAACGTGATGAACTATCGCACATGTACACAGGCTCTGCCTTTTGTACCTACAGGTTCCATGTCCATGGATTCAAACAACCATGGGTGGGAAACACTTGAAAAAGTTGCATTTGTACCAAACATGCACAAACTTTGTATGTCATTTCCTCAACCATACAATGTCATAACTGTTTACATAGAATTTACATTGTATCAGGAATTGCGAGTCATCTTTAAAGTGCATTGGCAGACGCACATGTGCAGTGCATGTAATTCTATGCCATCTTATTTGAAGGATTCAAGCACTCGCATATTTTGGTGTTGGTGGGGCTATAACCACTCCCTGATCCATATGGAGTGATAACTGTATGCTGAAATAGAATATGTACATTCAAAAGGTAATAAAAAATCGTTATCATGGAAAGAGATGCGTACAGCATTGGTAAGTGCAAAAGCACATTTTACAACTATCTGTGTTTAATTATCCCTTTAAATTATATACATATATGTCGATATAGAACAGGGAGATGTAAAAAGAGGTTAATAGCTATCAGTACTGTGATTATAGATGCAGTTCTTTAAAATTGGAAAATCTGAAGTTATAAAAAGTCACTGTCCCTAATATAAATAGCTTCTTATATTAAAAAAAAGATCAGAAAGTTCCTTTTAAGAATTTAGAACACGGCAGTGTTCGTCTCCCCTGAAGAACTGGTTTCTGAGTCTGTCAGGCAAGCGCCCACCTCAGTCATTGCTACACCTGGGTGGCTCACAACTTGAGAGGAATAAAGTTGCAGTTCTTCCACTTCCCCTCAGCTAGGAAGCTCCAGGCTGGTTAAATAAGTACATTGACTTAGACACTGGAACAAACGTAAACCAGTTTCACATTCAGAACTGCTATTTTAAGAAGCCTTTTGAGTCATGGGTGCACACCCAAGATTGTGGTGGTTTGTGGACCCACTGTCTCCCACCCCACCTTCTCCATGGCTTCAGATCTGTCTGTGTCTGCTTCAGCTCCCATACACCATCAGCAGCTACCTTAGATCTTTGAGAAAGTTGGTACAATGCAGAATATGTCAAAAATAGTTCATTTTCCCCGTAAGTGTTTCATGCATATGATGCAGTGGGGACTTGAAACAGGAAATAAAGCCAGGGCCTTCCCTGCCATCAGTCCAGATTGCCCTTGAGGGCAGGAAGGACAACTGTCCCACAGCAGGAGCCATGCGAACCCTGGATTATTTTCTCGTAAGTGAGGATATTTGACAGTAGATCCTTTTGCCCCAGTTAGCTCAGGGTAGACTGGATTATCTTTAAGCTCTGGGAAGCACAGAATTTGTCCCTATGATCCCTAAACTGCTAAACCTAAAAGACAAAGAAAAATGCAAAATTAAGGAGTATAATTAAAAATAAGGAACTGGTATGATTGATATTTTGAAATGTTTACTTGAAAAATTAAATATTGTAGGGTTTCTCTTATGTGAGAATCCCAAAGTACAAATGAAGAACAAAATAAAAGACAGATAAGAAAGAGGGAGATAGATCTTTCTCAAATGGAAAGGGATTGAGAGATGGAAGGAGGGAAGAAAGGAAGGGGATGAAAAAGAATTGAGATGGGCCGTGTCCAAGTACTAACTCCCCACAGGAATTCGATCATTGCATACTGCAATGTGTGTACTAATAAAAGTTAAAGAAAAGTAAAATAAAATATTTACTTGAAAAGTGGCGTTTCTGCATCACGCCTCTTCTGACCACACTGGGAGGTTGGGGGAGCATGAGGGTGACCAGCCTGGGTCCCACGGGCAGCCGGGACCAAGTCCGAGGCCAACTGCCCCACCCCTGCGGAGGGTGGAGTAGCTGCCTCCTGATGAAACATAAATAGTGCTCCGATTACGTCTTTCCTAATCTGTCAACTCAGGCAAGTGCAACATTCAATCTTTAATTAATTGAGTGATTTTTCTTAAAAACTACACTGTGCTTTAAAAAACTTGAAGTATTGTTTTGCAAGATAAGTGTGCTTCTACTTCCATATCTATGCAAATACACTTAATGGATGATTCAATAGTCAGTAGTTACATAACTTTAGCAAAAAGACCTGGGTTTACCCAAATTCATGCACTTTCTGAAATTGAGAATTCATGAATTCCATGGGACCAGGGGAGAAACTTCATCCACAGGGCACTGGCATCTCGTATAGGTGCTCAGTATGTTGTTAAGAAACTACAAGGAAATGCAAATTCTGGGCTGGATACCATGTCTTTGTGTCCCAATAAGCCCTTACCCATTCTACCCAAATGGCCTTCGGAAGCAACACTGTGGTTTTATTTGGTGCGCTATTTGTTTTTGTTTTGTTTGGACTTTTTTCACTGCGGTTGGCTTTGAATATACTCACAATTACTGTCATCAAAACAGTCCCTTCCACCCTGTAGAAGCAGGCCCCTTTCGCACGGGTGAGAGTTCATGTGCCCTGCCGGAGACTGGTGCTCAGGAGGAGGCCGAAGGGCCGCTGTCTCCCGCCAGCTTGGATTCTGCTGCTTCCCCAGGGGATTCTAGGGGGAACTTCTTGGTCCTAATTTTGCAATCTGCACAGTGTGCTGGGTGTGCACCTATTTTTCCAGGGCTGGGAGACCGTTTCCATTATCTTCTGTGGGCAAAGTCACAAGATAGGAGATAAGGCAAGGCTTGGTGTGTGCCCCATGGGCCAGGCAGGAAGAGGGGCAGAGGGGGGGCCCCCATGAGGAGTGGTGCCCTGGCTTCCAGGGTGGGCAGCAGGGGGCCAGGATGACACCACAGACTCTGCCAGATCAAAGCTGTCTGCTCTGCAGGGACTCGAACCCTCGGCTTCCAGGGCTAGGGGCATGGCACAGCCACAGGTCCTGGGGGATAGCTGAGCGGCAGCGCAGGTTGAGGCAGGAGGGAAGTGTGTAGGGCAAAGCAGAAATCAATCCAGAGAGGCCAGAGAGGTAGGTGAGGCAGTAGGGGACAGGCAGATGGTTTTCGAGAACACTGTGTGGGCCGATTCCAGCTACAGAAAAGCAGGGCAGGCCGACCACTCCAAATCGAGTCAGTAGAGAAGCCGAAGGCAGTCACACCTGGGTGTGCAGGGCGGGCGGCTTCCAGGACCCTTTCGGCCCCCAAATCTGCAGCTTCTCTAGTGCTCTCTATAAAATGGAGTAGTATTTAGGTTGGACCTATATGCATCCTTGTATGTACTTTTTTTTCCAGCAATTTGCAGATATTTTTATTGAAGTTTGAAAGAATCAGAGGCAAGCTAGAGGAATTCTGACTCTCCGTTGGGAAAAATCTACCCAACCTTGTGTTTGTTTGACCTGGATTATTTACTTCATTCATTCATTCAGTCAGTCCATGTTTACATTCCCTGTGTGGAGTTGATAGGTGTGCATAACACATCTTAATTCCATTTCATCCTCTTTCTCTCCCTTCTCACCCTCTACCTCTCTCTTTCTTGATCCCCTTCCCATTTGAGAAAGATTTATGTCTCTGCTTCCTATTATTTATCTTTTTTTTTTCTTTTTTGTACCTGGGATCTAACTCAGGTCCTTGCACTTGCAGGGCAGGTGGCAGA